ATGTGTATTCATATTATTATTTGTTATTGTAAATTAAATCTATTGTAAACAACGCATCACATATTATTTTATTATGGAGTCAAAACCAAATTCAATAAATATAAGCTTTCAATAATTGACAAATTTTAGGGATTCATTATAATATGATTGTTGTAATGCTATAAGAATCAGCACAGTATCAGCCTAGTGTGTTTCTTATTCTTATTTATGAATAATCAATAGATTTTACAAAATCGAATTTGTCATTGGAAAATTATGAAGTTTGAAATGAAACAGTATTACTAACTGAATTATTACACTTACATCTGAAGATGACTTTATGTAATGCATAGTTACTACATCTATCATCTAATTACAGTATCAACTACTTATAAACATAACCTATATAAAGCATACTCATGTTTCGTTGTCATTTTTGTAAAAATAATATATACATACATATATATGTATATAACAACAAACACTGAATAATTTTTATATATAACAACACTAGAGAATTTTTGTATACTTAACTCTTTTTAAATTATATTTAAAAAGTTTATGTTTACTAGAAACTTCTATTTGAAAATATAGAATGTATTTATTGTCTATATAAATAATACACAAATTATGCATTACATGTTCCTCAGAGGAATAATCTATAGTAAGAACTATAAATTTGAATTTCACTACATTAAATTTCGTGTAAACAAAAATAAATAATTTCTAATAATTTATCTACTAAATCTTTTATAAATTTTATTTATCTATTATGTATATATTTAATGATTTTATTCTTCCTTCAATGATAATAATTTTGTTTTCGAAATAATCATAAATATTAGCCAATAATTTTTTATTCGATATGTATCGTTTTTATCGAACAATAAAAATAGTTACCTGTATATATAATATGAAACTATAATACCTCATACCTGCTTTAATAACAGATTCAGGTTCAGGTTCGGAAAAATCTTTCCTCATAGTCCACATATATTCATTATAGTCTTGTTTAACACTGGTACTTGAAGATGCAACAACTTTGTAACCAAGCACCTCTAAAGCAGTTAATATTACACAAGGATGTTGTAAGTATACTATTGTCGAGTCATCGCAATATCCCCCACAAGCAAACCGAGTCAATTGTTCTATATCTGATGCTATAACATAATTCAATAAAATTATTTATTTTGGGTATTCAATTATAGTATTTTAACTTTTACGTAACTACGATAAAAAGGATAAATTTTATAAGAATATAAGATACAATAACATATTAATCAAATTATCTAATGTTCACGATAAATAATAGTACATCCGACATAAATTCGCAATTTCCGCGATAATTTTTATCTCTTTATCGCGGAAGAACGATAGTAAACGCACACCTTTTCTTAGAAACGATAAAATGTTATAATAAATGATATGTATTTAACATTATAACTTTGACGAAATAATATACGTACATACAAAAATACTTTATTTTATTTTTTACTATATTGAAAAAATTAATAATTAAAAGCTTGCGATACATACTTGTACATTTAAAGAAAAAACGTGTGCTTTAAGATTAATGCATTAATCACATGCAATTATTTGGGCATATGATTGAAAAAATATAAAGGTAAATTTTTAATGTGTCATAAGTATAATTACTGATGTATAAATAAAATTTTTCAAAATGTATTATCTAAAAATTAACATAAACATTAATAAATAGAATTTTATAATTTTATATTATTATAAATTGTAAATGTTGCAAAAACTACACAAATAATTAATTTAATAATATTTCAAAAATTATATATCTAGATTTAAATATGTAAGTTATTAAGTACTTCTATATACATTTATATGTTTAATCTACCATTTTCTTTTCCATGTTAATTATAAAATATTTGCACATGTTTGGAATTAACTTCATAAATACAATCATCATAGATAAATATGGTAGAATTATGATATTATCTTACAATAATACTAGTAATAGTGCTAATAATAGTAATTATAATCATAATATTAAACATTAATTTCTACGCATATTAGCAATTGAAAGAGGAGATGATGTTATTTTATATGAAAATGTGATTATACCCTCTTCATAACAATTACTATTCCTTTCAAATATTGTTGAATACATAAAGTAAAAATATATTAAAGGGAAGAAAGAATCTACGGTAAAAAAAATTGACTGACAAACACATGATAAAATGTTTAATATAATATATTCACACACACACATATACATAATAAAAAGTTATTTAAATAACATTTGTGGTGTAGGGCCAAAAGAAAACTACGTGTGATTTACATTATGAATATTAGTAACAAAAAACCATAAATAGCAAAAGCTTAAACTTTCAAAAAACTTTACTTTCAAAAAACAATACCTTTAAGACCTGACACTAAAACCCTCCATGGATATCTATGACCATATGATGCAAGATTACCGCGTACCAAAATGTATGGCATCTGTAATAATATGCTAAAACAAATTTATTATATATACATTTGGAAAATGTTACTACACAAGAATTTAGTCGACAGGGATTTAATATGCATAGTATATTCCATAGTTTCGCACAAAAGTAATTTATTATAATCTGTTTAACTTATTAATGTGAATGTCATATTATAATAGAAATTTTAAAAAATGACTTTCACTTCATTGATTACCAATGTTTTTACAGTTAATAGTTAAAATATAGATTCCTATATAATCAAATAAATAAAATATTATTATGATTGTGTTTAGTATATTGTATATACTAAATATAGCTTATATCCTTTTGTAAATCCACCAACAAAGATAAATTCTTTTGCCTTCTTACATATCCATAATACTAAAGACTATATTTTTATATAGATATAACATTATTGTGTAATAAATGAACAATAGAATGAACAAAACATAACAAATTGTAATTGTATGCTATATTTATAATTTATGTACTAATGACTTATGAATGAGTAAACAATTTTGTTAATCAATTTGATTAAAATACAAATTCCATGTTTCCTTGATTAGAAATAAATAATGCCACTAACCTTAATTAAATTATACATTAACTTACCTGTTAACATGTACAAAATTCTAATTTCTGAATATAATTCTTATCAATAACTTTCTTTACTTGTTAAGTGTGATAAATTAGATAGAGCGTAATATCAAATACAGTTAAAACGTTTAAAACTTTTTAGAAACTTTGTGCACAATTATTTTAAAGGGAAACTTCAATTGTGTAAAAGTGTAAAAGTACAAGGCAGTACATGTAAAAATTATGAAAGTAAGCCTGTTGAATTTAGAACAAATATTAACCTTCTTAAATTTTAGGCATGTGTAAGGAATTGTTATTTAATTTTTTTAATTAAAATCTATTTTAAGACTTAATGTTTAAATGTATTTTATCTTTCAAGCCATTGGGTAATTCTGTGCGCACGAACAGAATTCTCCAATAACCTTTTTCATTCAGCGATGTATGTTCTATCATAATAAATTTATTTTAATTTCAGAAGCCTTTTTTACATTTTAGTGAAAAGGTTTACATATGAAATTATCTATATCTATACTGAATCATAATTACGAGTATACTGTAAACATAATATTTAATAATTTGTATTTTATTAATACTTTTTTTAATGAAACTGATTTAAAATAACTTGTATTGTACAATATTGTTCCCGTAATTTCTCATTTTTATACTTTTTTAATATCTTACTTCTATCTTTAATATCACATAGTGTAAAGTTAGAGAAAAGACGGCGTTAAGTGTCAACCAATGAAAACCAAGACAGTATAGTCTCTAATTCTCTCAGGAATTTCACTAAACACAGGTGTCTCTATGTAACTTACTCCTCCCACGCTAGTAACTCGGAACAGCTTCCCCCACTACTTCTGTTTAAAGAGCTGTCCGAGACTGGTATGTGAGCAGTTCTATGTAGTTTCACGACAGGAAAAAATAAGAATAGAGAGGGTAACTTTTCGTGAGGGGAGTGTCACTAGACTGTCCGCGGACACCGATTTAGGGCACCCTTGATGTAGATAAAAATGAAATCATAATTTTAATTGTATATTTAATAAAAATAATAGACTTATTAAAACGAAAGAGATTAAATGATTGCTATTTAGTAGTAATGCGTGAAAATCGATAGAAAGCATAATAAAAGGTGAATAAAACCAATATCAAAAGTAAACGTTGTTGACAATTAATAAAATGTTGTTTACTTCAGTAATCATATTATTATAACCTTTTTATTACTTTATGTACACAATGAATATTCACTTTTCAATTATTAAACTATACTAATACATCTATTAATTTATCGTATGTGACGCTCAATGCCTAATGTTAATTTATTGTAGTATGTTCTAAGAAAAGAACAATCTGCTATCATGAATCTGAAAATTTCATCCATACGTGCATATTTAAAAAATTAGAAACAATATCCATGTATATGAATATTTTAAAAACTAGACATACCTGTACAATAGAATAGTAAGTGGAGCTGTACTAGCATGCCATAAAGAATGAGCATCAAATACCCAAAATATTGGTGCAAAATCTGCTATTTCTAATAAGGTAACAAGGACGGTTAATATATTAAACCAACCAATTAAATGAATATATGGTAACTTTTTATGATTACGATGCCACCATAACATTGTTAAAATAAATGTTAAAAATCCTGAAAATTTTTTAATGGGATATAAATTTGATATTTTGTTTAATAGAATGTTATAAATATAGAAAAAAATATTAACATTGTACTATAATTACCTATGACAATATTAAATTTCATATTGTAATCATAATTAATATCACCAGACCATAAATGTGATAAATGAGTATACAAAGTACTAAGATATCCGCACGTAATCACAGCAAACATTTTATTATTCGTATATGTTAGCCTAAAATTGAAATAGAGAAAGTTTTAGATGTTTTAAAAAAGAAACATATATATATGTTATAATTACGAGTTATACATTACCTTAATAACATACAATACAGTAATGTAAGAACCATAATAAATGCACTAGAATAATCCATTACTTCTGTAAATGGTATGTCTCTCGCATGAAAAACAGAAGACCAAAACCAACCATGGATACATACCTAAAATTAAGTAGTTTTTAATATGCACAGAAGTCAAATATATTTTTTCATATTATAAAAAAATAAATTATATTTAATATAAAAGAAAGGAATAAAAATATTAAAAAAAATTCTTGCTACATACCATACTAAAGTAAGTCCAAACATAAAACATTGGATCAGTGGGCCTTAATTTTCTTTTAAATTTCCAATACATAGTAATATGAGCATAAAAATTTAATATAGAAAATATGACAGATGCAGGCTCTTGGCATCCAAAAAGACGAATAAATGGCCACTGAAATAAACATTAAAAATTATACATGTATGTATATAATAAAATTTATTTTTTTACATTTATTTAATAGATATCATATACTTTTCCATGAAACTGAGGAACTTTTAAGCCATGAGAGATAAAATAATTAACTGTTTCCCACGTACAAACATATCTACAATCTTCTTCACAAGACCAAAATAGCAATCTTAAAAATAAAGAAGGTTGTACTTTGAAATCTTCATCTGTAAAATGTTAATAAAGGAGTTAATGAAGATCTAAATTAATTAAATAAAAACCACTAAAACAATTTATACAACTTTACATTTATGAAATATAATATAAAATATTGATAAATACATTTTCTTGAACAGTTGAAAGTTACAAAAACAATACAAGAAACATTAAAAATAATCAATTTGAAGAATGTTTAAAAGTATTAGATCTGTAATATTTGTTTTAAAAATCTTTGTTATAAAATTTGTAATATGTAAAGTTCACATACTCGCTAGACAATTAATTCCACGACATTTTGCTAGGCATAAATTGTAAAATTGCGATCTATCTCCCGTTGAACCAATTACGCTTGTAATATAAAATGATTGAAGCGCAAAAATGAAAATCCATCTGGTATTTGACATGCCACTCGTGTGCCGCCACAAACCGTACTGCATGGCTTGAATTAATTATTACAGTGTCTGAAACCTTAGTAATGAAGTTGTGTTCCAATGCTTCCAATAAAATTCTAATTCCATTACCATTGGTTGTAATCTCAAATCGTTAATCGAATATTAAATGTATTTGTAATTCAAATTTTTTAAATAAAAGTGTGGCCTAAAGAAAACATAAAACATAATTCGTTATTTTATATTATTGAATATAGTTTTACAAAAACAGGTAAATATTCTTTTATATATATTTTACAATAATTATAAATACTTTAAAATTATTTTTATTATATACGATATTAATTAATTATATTATAGTTATATGCCGATGACATATTTGGTTACACTATATTCTAGCTTTTATACATACATTTTTATGGACTTCAGCATGATACGTGTAAAATAAGATACGTGATTTATCATGGATGAGTAACGTATTTTGTGAACATAATATGTAAACAATATGAAACACAAATTTTTGAACATTTAAACATTTTGAAATGTACACTCTTCTGCATGGGTTGTACAAGTATCTTGTGCAAAAAGATGAATATTTTATATTAATATTAGGACTCGACAATGCTGGAAAAACGGTGAGAGCTGATAAAGACATTAAATTTAAGGTTAAATTATTATTGTATATTTATTTCTTTATATTCTTTACATTGTAGACATACTTGGAAGCGGCAAAAACGAAATTTACGAAAAATTATAAGGGTATGAACCCTAGTAAAATCACAACAACTGTAGGTTTAAACATTGGGAAAATTGATATTGCTGGTGTTCGCTTTAATTTCTGGGATCTTGGTGGACAAGAAGAACTTCGATCATTGTGGGATAAAGTAAATAAACAACGTTTAATAATATATTTTTATAAATACTAAAAATAATTATTTTGTATTTTTAGTATTATGCAGAATCGCATGCAGTGATTTATATAGTAGATTCATCGGATCGTGAAAAAATACCGGAATCTAAAGAAACATTTGGTAAAATATAATAAAAATCTTTTGTGAGTTTAATTTCCAAATTATATGAAAAAATAATAATAACACTTTATTACAGATAGAATTATATCATCTGAACACCTAATAGGTGTACCCCTCTTAGTTCTAGCAAATAAGCAAGATGTGCCTGATTGTATGGGTGTTAGGGAAGTAAAACCAATTTTTAATCAAAACGCACATTTAATTGGTCGAAGAGATTGTATGGTCATGCCTGTATCTGCTTTAAATGGGTATGTAAATCGTTAAACTATTTATCGTATAATACTTGATGTTAATTTAATTTAAAATATATTACACTTTTAATTAAATAATTTTTTTTATATGAATCAATTTTTATGTACATCAAAATTTTTCGTCAAAACTTTTTGTTTCGTTACAAGTAAATATATGTTCATACGTGCTTTGCCAGACCAATTACTATGTGTAATAAAACAGATTTTTATTAATAAAGACATTGTAAGGCTCATTGTAATAACTATATTAAAGCAAATCTATACTATCAAGTTGCATGTGCTTCATAACAGAGCACACTTTTTAAAATTAAAGTTATTAGAATTATTATTACATTAATCAGATTATTAAAATTATTAATACATCAGTAAATTAATCACGAATATTGATTAATCACTGCTTTTTAAATAAATAATATACTCATATCTTTTGCAATATACACAATGATTATAGTCTTTTTTATTTAAGAAAGTTATTGTACATTGTTGTCTATAATAGTTGTTCCTTTTTCTATGAACACACTAGACTAATGACATTTAGGTGCTCAATACAAGGTGAAAAGTTATTGCGATTATCGGTACGTCAAAAATTTCATTCTTTAAAAAACAGACTATAGTGTATTTGATAGGTATATAAATAAATAACTATCATAGTTTGTTTAATAAAGAATTTATCATAAATAGTAAAATGTAATTATATTTACATGAATGTAATTAGAAATAATCTTTTCTAATTAATTTGAATATGTTAGCAGATGAATTATGAACTCTTTATAAAATTGAATTTAATTGTACTTTATGCAACCAAAAAATAATATATGTTTATCATAAATTTAAATCTTAATTTCATTACTATGAATCAAAAATTACCAATAATATATAACATAGATGGTTAAATGTAACATTATGATGTACATTATGCTGTAATAATTAATGAAAGGGGCTGTGTTATGAAGTATATGAGGCTTATTTGTAATAATCATTTTAAGTAATCATTTGTATGATATAAAAGGGATGGTGTAGATGAAGGCATTCACTGGCTTGTAGACTGTGTCAAGAGAAACAACGATGTTCGCCCACCACGTAACCAGAACGACAGTTGCCTGTCTTAATATCACATTCCTATTTTATTTTAAAATATAGATTAATTTGTAAACAGTATTTTAACATATAAATTCTGTACATTTACATTAAAAATAACTACATTTTTACCAATAAATCTTGTTTTCTAAACTATGTTAGTTAATTTATCCAATAATATCGATTCCGGCCATTACTGCTTTTATTATCTCTTATTATGTCATGATATTACACTTGAAGTATTATTCTATATTTTTTGTCTTATATTTCTAATATATTTATCTAATACGATTGATTTACAAACAATGGTCATTCATCGTCTTTATATTACATTTACCTTAATTATTATTAAATTGTATTAAGTTTTTATCTCATATTAATTTAGAAGAATTATTACATTTTCAAATTGTTCTGGTAATATAACTTACTTGTGTTGCTGCTATCAAGGTAGTAACTGAGATAAGAGATAATGCCAACACCTTGCCTCACATTCTGTTATGTTGGTGATAAAAAGTCTACAAAACTGGTAGTTCAAGCGTATATACTGGATAATATATGGATTGCAATTTTAACTAAGTCTTTGTCTCAAGTTCTTTATTTGTTAAGATTTAGTGCATTATGTGGCCTTATTATGAATCGGATGACTGGAGTGTTCTACCACCAGAATTAAACAGAAGGTGATCATTTTCATAATTTTTACTCTTCATATAAAAGAAGTTTATGTATTCAAAATATTCATTATATATGTAATAATTTTTTAAATAAACTACAAAAGAGTGTATATTAAGAAAAAGACAAAATAAAATCAAAAGATTATAATTAAAATATAAATTTTACATTGTTATATAAAACAATAAACTTTTTGTGTTGTTATATTGTTTATAAAATAATTTTATTTAAGAAATAATTTATTCAAATCGTTTAAAAAAAAATTGTATTGGCCTATGTTAACATACGATGGAAAATGCACAGTACATATTTATTATTTTTAACAACAGTTGTGCAATGACACTCAGATTATATATGAGTGTCAATAGGAGTTACTAAATTGTTTTATTTATAACAACAGAACCGTTACATCATTAAGAAATGTTACGAGCAATTCATTATCTTATTATAACGGATAAAAAAATAAATCATAAAAATTAATTTTTCTAAAATAATATGAATTTCGCGCTTTAAAAACGAGTATCATTGTTATTCACTACGTTGAACAAAAGTATAAATAAGTAACCGGCAACTACAATTACAAATAAGCGAAATAAATTGAATTCTATGAGCGAACAATAATCGGTGAATCTACTCGTCGATGTTCCTAATCATAAGACACACATGATATAGAAATCAGTCACGACAACATACACCGAAATGTCACAGTATTATCAGGAACAACGTCAATGACAATAGGTAGCCATCTTGACTTTTGGTGCGCGAATACCGCGGACTATTGAGGAGAGTGTCTGTCGCGTTATAGACTAAACAATCGTGAACCGTTTAACTATGTCTGCGGTTTTTTTCTGGAATTGATTAGCCCTTGTTGCAAATTGAAGTTTTCCACGGTACGTATTGTTGATCATAAAAATCCAGCTTAGAAGAAATTACTCGGAATGCAATGTGTATATACAAACCAATACAGGCCGATATACCCAGGTGCAGGACAGACTATGCAAAAGTGAGTGAGGGCGCACGACTCGCGCCCTGGGAGGCGAGGCATTTCTCGCCGTATTTGTCATACGACTTGCGTGTAAAAGGTGGGCGACACGACGACGGTATACACGACGCGCCTTCGTGCCGTCTTACACATACGTCGTAAACGTCGCTCGATTTCCGGATTCGAGTTTCCTGAAAACGACGTCCTTGACTTGGTACTGTTTGACAGCTAGAAAACTAACCCTTGGTTCGATGCCCTTCAGTGCGAACGAATCTTTTATATAACCGGTTTACACATTTTACAATATGCTGCCGACTTGTGCGAGCGTGCGACCGCGACGCGTTTTTATAACACGTGAATTCGTGGTCGAATGACATTCAAAAACTAGGTAATATCCATTGCATGCGCTGCAAATACATTTTGATCGAGTGCTTGGATCTCGTCAGTGAAACCGGTTATTTTACGTGTCGTGAAAAATAATGAAATACAAAGTTCTTGTTCTCCGTCTAAGGAACACGTTAGATGGTCATTGTTTTTCATGATATATTCATTTCAGTTATACATTGTTCTAATTAGTGGTATGATTAATCTATAAATATATTTTACAGTGATGATATTTTTGGAATAAGTTTATTTTCAATCTTATTTCTTTTGTGAGACTGCATTGAAAATATCAAAAGATTATATTATTACTTGAAATTAAATATCATTAATTCATTTGAAAACACTGTAATAAATGTATCTGCTGTTTGCAATATTTGTTTAAAATCTAAATCTATTGCTATAAACAAGTTTATATCATTATGCGATCATGACTTTTGAATGAATATTAATAATTCTTATTGGGCGGAGAACATTAACATAGTTTTGTCTAATTTGTGTTTTGAAAATAGTTAGTTGTTTAAGATCTATGAAAATAACTTTATAGAAAATTCCATAACATTGCCTGACCTTTCCCTAATAGGAAGCAAACGGTTCGTGTTCCATATTCAGCTTCACATCATTTGTAATATCGAAGCTCATCGTATACGTTTGAAAACTACGCTGTGAAACCATGAATGCTTCAGAACATGGGTAATATATAATTCTGATTATAAACATCTTTAATAATATCAATTAAGAGCCATTACAGATTGTGTAATTATCATAACATAAAAAATTAATCAATTATATTGTGCTTTTTATGAAAATTATTATTTTATATTTTAATCGAAGAAACACATTTCCATATATTATAATGGCAAAGAATACACATTGATCGGACTAAAGTATACAACATAATGTTACTTGTTATCAATTAAAAATAACTAAGAAATAATTAAAATCAGATCACAGGTGTCATTGCACAACAAAGAAAATGGTATGTAAATGTTTTGTGTGTATAAAATAGCATGGGTGTGTACATTACAGGTTTAACCCAGCCTTTAACATGGCCTCCATAAAACAAGCTTTTAACGAGGCAGTAGAAAGAGGTAAGTGTAATGTTGACAAAATATTGAATATCTCATTCATCTTTATTAATATTTTACATTCCCAGCTTGCTATTTTCTATTTATACTCGCACACGCATGTTTCTATACATTAAGTATTATAATTATTTTATATCATAATATAAACACATACAGATATTTAAATTAGAAGTATTTATTGTATATTTCATATATGTATTTCATGAAAAAATAAGTAGACATGGATTCTAATTTCCTTAATTATTAGAAATTTAAGTTAATATACAATTATAACTTTTATTTAATACAGTTATTATATGTGGTACATACTTTTAGTGTTGTCCTATATAAAATATATTTTTTTAAAGTTATTACCAGTCCTACTTTTTGTACATACATTGAGAATTATTATTTTACTTATATTATTGCTTATTATTATTATGAAATTTAATTTCCATTATGGTTGTTATCCTTAGCTTGAGCATTTAACTCATTAAATCCTACTAACACTAAAATTGATAACATATGTGTAATTTAAAAGTCTCAACAGTTAGAATGCCTGCACCGACACGACTAAGGGATCTCATCAGGCAAATAAGAGCTGCACGTACCGCAGCAGAAGAGAGAACAGTCGTTAATAAAGAATGTGCGTATATTCGTTCTACATTTAGAGAAGAAGACAGTGTATGGAGATGTCGCAATATTGCAAAACTCCTATATATTCATATGCTTGGGTTTGTACCAAATTTTTTTAACATATTCAACTATACTTAATAGAATAATTATAATTACATCATTTTTATCAAAACTGAAATACTGACTAACTTTTCAGGTATCCAGCTCATTTTGGCCAATTAGAATGTTTAAAACTCATTGCATCTCCAAGGTTTACGGACAAACGAATTGGTTACTTGGGTGCAATGTTACTGTTAGATGAACGACAGGATGTTCATCTTCTAATTACAAATTGCTTAAAAAAGTGACGTTTTTATAACATTACTTTAATAGTATTCTGTTTCAAACATCTATTGAAATATTAACATTGTGCATTTCTTTTACAGTGATTTAAATAGCGCAACACAGTTTGTTAATGGTTTAGCATTATGTACCTTGGGTGCAATTGCATCACCAGAAATGGCAAGAGATTTGGCATCTGAAGTTGAAAGGCTAATGAAATCACCAAATGCATACCTTCGAAAAAAAGCAGCTCTTTGTGCATTTAGAATCATTAGACGTGTACCAGAATTGATGGAAATGTTTTTACCTGCTACTCGCAGCTTAATTACAGAAAAAAACCATGGAGTATTAATTACGGGTGTTACACTTATCACAGAAATGTGTGAAAATAGTGTCGATACATTAAATCATTTTAAAAAGGTAAGCTTTATATGTTTTAATAACAGATAATAATATTAGTATTGATACAAGGAATAGTAGAATACTTAGATGTCTTGAATATTATTAAAAGATGTCAAGTCATTGCATTAAAGAAGATAGATTTTTCCTCAACACAATTTAAGTTTTTTGATGTTGTATTAGTTATATAGTTGCAGTCTAGATTGTAGTGGCATTAATTCTTACAAGTGCATTAAATTGGTAGTGTTAGTAAAAATTTCCTCGTACTGAATTAATTAAAATTACAATACAGAAGAATTATAGTAAGGAGTGCGTATATATTTATGTTTGATATGTATATACAATTATGCGCATCTATAATTCCCTAAAAATTTAATTGAAGTTATTATGCGATAAAAATAAAGAACACCTAAATTATTTTTTATCGATACTTATAAGTCTAATAATCTTAATATTGTATTAAGAAAGTATTTCCACATCTAATATTTTACAAAAAATTTTAATTCAAAATTAATAATTCTGAATAATATTTACATATATGATTTCGTAATTGTTTAATCTATTTTTGCTTCTGATAATATTCATAATATAAGTATGGTTTTGTCTTCCTTAGGAATGCGGCCATCGAGAGGTAACATGCATAAAAGCATCCTTTATACTTTTGCATGTTTGCTTATTATGGACTCCATTCTTTTGTTTTTTTTTCTTTTACGTAATTTCTTTATTGTCATTATATGATTGCTCGTGTTAAATGTGCCATTACAATTCTTTGACATTTCACGAACAACATAAAAATATATGCATGTATTTTAAAAATATAGTACTATGATCATATTTCTGAAAAATACGATTTAATTATCAATTTTATATTCTTTTTATAATTATTTCAATTTTAAATATTGAAGACATTGTCATTTCATTAATATGTATAAAATAAAAATAATGCTGAAACAATATTAGGTATTTAAATGTAGTTTATTGGGATAAAGTGAATAAGTTTAGTTATTATGTATGTTGACGGCGAATATGACACTGTTCATTGTTGGCTCCTTACTAATTTTGTAAATAGATTATGAAATTATCGCTGGAACAACCGACGAGATATGCAATTTGTCCTTAGGAACGTGAATGATAATTGCGTTAAAAGTGTTAAATGTAGTTTTATATTTTAGATAATTACATTAAAATTATTTACATTTTTACAAATTATATTAAATTGAAAAATAATTACATAATGAATCAAAGTTTGCAGTAGAATTTATATTTGAATTAATCACTTTGATTTATTTTATTTTAACGTTCTTATACTTATAGATTGAATATACGAATTAATATATTGATAAAACAATACGTATTTCTTACACATAGTTTTTCTATATACATATAGGGTTAACATAAATTACAATAAAAGTGTGATAAGGCAGTTTTTATTGGTAAAAATAAGTAGAAATGTTAAAATAATTGTTTCTAGTTATATAAAGTGTTATTATGTAATGAAATTCATTTTTCTGGAAAATTAAGCTTCCTATGAGAGAAAATTATTTTATCATTTTGACTTATTTAGGACTGTAGAATTCCTATTCATTTCAGGTATATTATAATTTATGACG